TAATTTATAATAATGGAATTTCTCAAAATTTTGTTTTTCCCTTTTTGTCATCATATCATCCATTTCTTTTATTTCTTTTTGAAGTAAAACGTTTGTTGATTTTATAAAAAAAGATAATTCGAGTAGTTTTGTTTTTATATCACTATCTTCATTCATTTTTTTCTTTTTCTTGTATTTTCTTTCTGTAATACAACAAAAGTTGGTATGAATAGGAATACATTCTGATTCGAGTTTTTGTTAATAACATAACTTACTGCTGTATAGTTTCTTTCTTTATAAATAAAATTAACTTCTTTTTCAATTTTTTTTTGTAATTCTTTCTTTTCTTTAAAGCAAGTATATGAATAATGAATAATACAATCTGATGGGTATACTGGTAATGATGCATTATATAAAAGCTTTTGATATTTTTGACATTTTTTACAATAAAAACAATATTTCTAAAATATTTTTCTATATCTTTCATTTGCAATACTATTTATATTTTCATCCATTTTTTTCCAAAATAAATCAACTATTTTCCACCAAATGTTACTATGAAAATGAACAAAGTTACACTTTAATAAAATTTTGTGATAGTATAAAGTTGTTTTTTCATTTTTTGATTTTAAGTGTTTTCTTCTTTTCTATAACAAATATCTGAAAAAATAGTTACTATAAACTATCATGTTTTTTTTAATTTCTATTTCTTTAAGTTCTTTCTTGTATATTTTTTTTCCTTTTTTTCCTTCTTCTTCGATAAAGTTAGTTTCTTTTTCAATTTTTTTCTTAATTTTTCGTTTCCTTTACAGCAAAACTCTGCATGATACTTGATAGAATCTTCTTTTGTTAATGGTGCACGTCCATAACAACGTCATTTAATTTCATAACTTTGACAAAATGAACAATTAAAACAATATTTTTAATGTAATTTGTTGTAGAGTTTATAGATGTGATCATACAGCATAGTGATTTTAATAATTTCTCTATTAAAATTCAATTTCTTTATTTTTTCATCAACCAGTTCTAGTTTTTTTCCAAAATATTCTTTTTCTTCTTTGTTTTCTTTGCAGCAAACATCAGCATGAAAATGAATACGTTGTAATTCACTTGGAAATGTGTATAAATTATGGTGAATTTTGATATTTTTTACATTTTTTACAATAAAAGCAATACTTATAAAATAGTTCTCTATATATTGCGTTTATACTAGCAAGAGACATTTTGACTTTAGGTTTTATACCCTATCAGTAATGAATAAAAAAATAGCAAATTTACAGTTTTTATATAATTTTGTAATAATATAAAGTGTTTTTTCCTTTTTTCAATTTTTTAAATTCCTTTTTAAATTTTTTTTTTTCGTATTCAACATGACTTATATGGTTAATAATAAATTCATTAAAAGATAATTCACTAATATATTTATAATTATTTGGTAAAATATATATATATATATACATTTACTACAATTAAATTCAGTTAAAAATTCATAAATTCTGACCATTTCATTTTTACCCATTTTATATATGAGTGTTTCTTTTGATGTTTCTCTTAACTCTATTAAGTTAATATGGAACAAAATTTAAAAAGAGCAGAAACATATCTTTCTGAACGGGAAAAAATACCCGAAAAAAAAAGGAAAGATTTTTTGAAAGATATGATTAATTGTAATGAGAAATTGACTTTTTCTATTCATAAATATATTCAGATTATAGGATATATTTTGAAGAATGAACAATTGTACAACGATTTAAGAAATACCCCATGGTATAGTGAAGAAATAGAGGAAGAGGTGCTTTTCGATTTAAATAAATATGAAGAAAAAGAACATGATTTGTTTTTAAAGAAAAATGTGAATAACAAAGTATTTATTTACTTGGATGGTTGTTGTCATAAACATTTGTTGTGAAATTTACTATTCAATCTTATGAATAGTGTCGTTGCATGAAGTTTTGGTTTGTATACTGTATATAAAGATATCAATGGCATCTATCCTTCCTGAAACTTTGGAAAGAATAAATAAAGCTTACGAGGAAGAAGAAAGAAAGTGAAAAAATATTTTTACAAAATTGGTGATAGAAAACCAACCTGATTTATTTTCATTAATTCATGGATATATTGATTTGTTAAACGATTTGTTAGTTTCTTCTGATTTATATAATGATTTAAAAAAATGGCACGGCGAGTATTTAAAATACTCTAATACTGTTGGAAGTTCTTCTCAATTGTATGTGAATACACTGAAGAAAAATGATAAGAATCAAATTTATCTACCCTTTGGTTTTTCTGATTCCACGTATAAAGATCAACGGACAAATGAAGGCATGAACAAAAATGGATGAGAACTTTTTACTTGTAGATACTGCTTTATGCAACGGCAAATTTTATAGAATTTATCATAAAAATGATGAAAAGTACGATTATTTTAAAATATGTATGCAATCTATAGACGATACTACTGCTATATATAAAGAGAATGCTTGGATTTGTAAACAAAAAAGGCATGGTGTAAATACAGTGAAGGAATTATTAGAGAAGATAAAAATATTTTAAATATGGATAATGGAGAGAGTTTTGGTGAGAATTTTGTACACTTTATGAATAGATTTTTTGATTTGTCTCGTGAGACTAATACTTTTTTGATGAATATTATGAAGTTGTTAAAGATAGAGAAAAAGATAGAAAAATGTTAGCTGAAATAATGATTGAAAATTATGGTAATTAAGTTAAAATCACAAATTACGTGTTGGAAAAAAATATCTCAGAAAAAAGATAAGGGATTTAGAAGAAAGACTTCGAATTGCTGAAGAAAAGAACGAAAAATTTGTGGAAAGAGAAAAAACATTATTACTAACTATTGAAGAAATGAAGATAATAAATATATCTTTATGTGAAAAAAAATGAGTTGATTGATATAATTAAAGTATTGGTTAAAAAAACTTGAAGAAAAAGACGATGTCTTGGTACTTAATTAATACACTCATATCTGTATTAAGTAGAAAATTTTATTATAATTTTTTATTTGATGGGTGATGTGACGAACGTTTTACACTTGATGCATTAAAAAAATTATGTAAAGATATTCAAATTGAAAATAAAATTTTAAGACAAAAATTGCGTTATATTCAACTATGAACATGATGCAGAAAAATGTGGAAACGTTCAAGAACAAAATCATTTTTTAGTCTCAAGATTAAAAAAATTACAAAAAGAAAATGATGAATTAATAACTTTAAATCAAGCATATAAAGCAAGAATCGATGTTTTGGAAGATGACCATTTTTATCATGAGTTTATTTGGATAACTATCGATTCAATTGATGATGGATGGCAGTGAATAAACAAAAATTTTATAAGGATCATATTTTACTTTTTTTTGAATAAAATTGAGGAAAAAACTCAAGAAGTGATTGCTTTAAAATTATATATTGAAAAATTGAATGTAGAAATTAAAACTCTTAACCATAAGATAAAAGAGCAAGATACTATAGTAAAAGATCAAGAAAAGAAAATTATTGAATTAGAGAAATTGATAGAAGAGAAAAAATTATTGAATGAAAATGGAAAATAATCATGATGATGATGATGTTGACGCTTTTTTTAATTTCTTTTTGTGTATATTTTGTATTATTTTTATTATTCTAATTTTTGTTTGGGTGTATATATAAAGATAATGTTGAACAATAAGAACAGAGAAATGGATGATTCCTATTTTTGTCCTTTACTTATATCTTGATAGAAGAAAAAAAATTATTGAATGAAAATGGAAAATAATCATGATGATGATGATTTTAACGCTATTTTTAATTTTTCTTTGTGTGTATTATTTATTATTTTTATTATTTTAAATTTTGTTTGTTTATATAAAGATAATATGGAACAATAAGAACAGAGAAATGGATGATTCCTACTTCTGTCTTTTACTTATATCTGGTTGTATTCTTAAATTGAATGAAATACAATCAACGAAAGTGGATATTATTAATGCCAGAATAAAGATATTGGAAGAAAATATCAAGGATTTAAAGATTTTATTTGATGAATGTGCTCGTAGATGAATCGATTATAACATTTCTTGTGACATTATTTTTTTCAATAATTAACTCATGGTATATTTCTTATCATTGTTATATTATTGAAGAGAAATTTATGAAAAAGATCAAATACCAAGAAAAGAAAATTCTCGAGATACAGAAATTTATGAAAAATACGTATTTGTCTGAAGAAAATATCTGTATTGGTGGTGGTGATGAATGGGAATGACTTAATTCATTGTTATTTTAATGGAATTTATTTGTTTCAATATGATGAAAAATTTCTTAAAAAAACTTTTTCTAAAAATTATATTGTTGACTTTTTATCAAAGAATAGCGAATTGACAATTACTGATCAAAAAAAAATTTATAATTTTATTTTAAAATATAAATTATATCTCAGAGACTATTATATTTATATAAATGAACAAAAATATATAGAAAAAAATAGTGGTAAAGAATTATATATTTTTAAGAAACCATTTATTAATATAACAAAAATGGAATGGGATTAATGAAAAACATTTGTTGATAATTTTGTAAAAAAATTTGATTTTTTTGTAAAAAATAAAAAATTGTTGATTTTTTGTAGGGTATATTCATCTTATTTTTCATGTTTTGTATCATTTGATTTAATATACTTTCAAACAACACATCGATGTAAGTTTTTTAAGGAAAAGATAAAAGAAATGGCTCAAGAGTTTACTATTTACAAAAAAATTTTTAAAGATTTCTAGTTCTATCACTGAAAAAAAAGGATAAAAGAAATGGCTCAAGAGTTTACCATTTACAAAAAATTTTTTAAAGATTTGGTAACAGTTTTACAAAGTTATTCTAATGGAAAAGCAATCCTTGGAAATAAAGTATGCAGTTTTAATCGTTGTAGCAAGCTATGTTTTATTTCAAAATCTGTTTACTCCCCATACAATGATGGGTTGTGTTGTAAAGACAAATTGCAAATGAATTTGCAAGCATGTGAAAAATTAGCACGTGTGTTGAATAAAATTGCTAATAGAGATGAAGGTGAAGATTTGTATGAAGTTTTGTTTTCATCTAATGAAAAGCGTGTTATTTTGGAACGTTAATCAGGAAAATTAGTTTTAAAAACACAAAAATCATCTCGTACTGTGGATGAAAGTGTAACTATTTGTGTTGATGATTATAATGATGAGTGAGATGAATGTTTCAAACCAAGTGATCTAAATGATATTTCAATGATAGATTGGGTGGATGAATTTTACAAAGTGTATTTCAGAAAAGATGATGACTTAAAAACTATATCACAAAAATTGCAACAATTTGTTGCATCTTGTCGTGATTTATTAAAAAGTGAAGAAGAGAAGGAAAAACAAAGCAAAGGAAAGGAAGTTAAAGAAAAAAAAGGTAAAAAAGAGATGCCAAAAACCGTAGCAAGAAAAAAAAGAAAAATGAATATTGAAAATGGTGATGACATTGAAATTGATAATGATATTGAAGCTATTTATATGTTGAAAGAGTTTTCTAATAAATCGGATATTTCAATATATGATTGCATTGTTTATCATAGTGAAATTATGAATGAAATTTTAGAGGAAAAAATGGGAAAGAAATATGATTTTGTAGAAATTTATAAAAAATATGGAAATGATGAAATCGAAAGAATATATAATAACATTTTTCTTTTAGTGGTTGATTATCATCGCCCTACTTCTCCAACGATTGTAAATGATGACGATAATGAGGAGAACGAAGAAGACGACTAATTTAATTAATGACGATTTTATAAAAAGGCTGCAAGATTATTAAAAGGCGAACATTTAGAAAATAATGAACAAAATATATATAATTTGTATCAAAAGAAAAAGAAAAAATATAATTGTTTAAATATAAATATATGGAAAAAAAAAATTTATGGAGTATTGATTTAGCTGAAATGAAAGATTTGGCAAGATATAATTATAATTTGCGTTATTTGTTATGTGTAGTTGATGTTTATTCAAGATATGCATTTGTGCGTTTATTACAAAATAAATCTAGAAAATATGTTATGAATAAATTTGAAGATATTTTATTGAAAGAAAATGAATTTCCTAAAAAAATAGTATGGGATGAGGGAAGTGAATTTCAAGGGATTCGAAAAGAATTGTAAAAAACATATAATTTTACAACTTATTATACTTATAATCGTGAAATTAAAGCTACTCATGCAGAAAGATTTATACGAGCAATAAAACAGATGATTAGAAGAACTATTGACTCGCTGCAAACAAGAAACGAAGAAAAAATTACAATTATAAAAAATACTTACATTTAATTGTGGAAAGATATGACGAATCTCCTCATCGTGGATTACTTTCCGATAATCTTTCACCATATGATGTCTATTTAGGTGGAACAAAAAAATTACATCAAAAGATTATCTAATATTTTAAACAAAAAAAGGGATAAAAATTTAAACATATTAAAAAAATGATAAAGTGCAAATTTCAAGAATTAAAAATAATATTTTTGAAATGGAAAGTTTAAGACAGTGGGTTAATGAGATCTTTTATATAAATAAAGTTTTGTTGACGGATCCTGTTACTTATAACCTTTGTGATAACAACGGTGAAGAAATTCAAGGGAAATTTTATTGTGAAGAATTAAAAAAGGTTTAAAAAATGAAAAATATTACATTAATTAGTAATGTTAATAATAAAAATGGTGAAAAAAATTATATTAATCATTTTACGACAACATTACCCGGTCAAATTGATGCATTAAATAATAAAAAAATACATATCTGTATTAAATGTTTTTTATCCAAGAACAGCAAAAAATATTAATGAAGATGAATGCTGGTGTGATTTAGAATTAAAATTTTCAAAATATTTTATTCAAACGAATGTTACTATTAAAAATATAGATAAAAGTTTATATCCAATTTTAAAGTTTAATTTACCAAGAATTAAAATACCGTCGGGAATATATAACAATAAAAAAGTTATATCGCTTTTAAATGATTATTTAAATGATTTAATGTTTTTTTAATAATAAAAAAGGTAAAAATAATATAATTTTAAAAAATGAATATACTTGTTACTATACTCAGGTGAAAGAATATACTTGTTACTATACTGTTGCTAATTTTAATTTACAATCAATGCAAATAATGGATTATGAAAAAGCTCCTTCGATTTTATTTTCAAAATATATATTATTCGAATTGGAGTACGATGATTCAGATAATAACTATATCACCGACGAAGAACTAGATATACTTCTGGACTTAAAATTTGAAGGAAAAAATGAATGAAGAAAGTAAAAATAATTTGTATAAATATTATGGAAATGTATTAGAGGGTAATGGAATGAGATATTGTAATCCACATTTTAATTATATAAAATATAAATCTAGTTCTATCGCTGAAAAAAAAGGATAGGATAAAAGAAATGGCTCAAGAGTTTACCATTTACAACTATATCTGCGTTGTGTACAGTTGCCTTTTGGCACATCTGATATTGGTCTTGACGATAACAGATTTTCCAAAACTGTGGACAAAAATGATAGAAATGAATATGATCAGGAGCAAGATACAGATAGTGAAGAATTCGTACTTGGAGATACAAATAGTGAAGACTCAGAGTTCGAAGACAATATTAACAGCAATGTAGAATCTAAATGCACAAGTAAGATTTTGTCACACAACAAGTTTCCGCAAATCAAAGGAAATTTATTGTGTTTGAAGATTCCCTGGTTGAATGTTTCGATCACTGCTCTAAATGTGGTAGTAAATGCCTTGTTAGCGTAGCAAACACCATTGGAACCTTTTCCAGAATATCCGTTCAATGTTTACTAGACGAAACCCATAGCTTTACATAGTGCACAGGCCCCTTTTGTAATAGACTACCGGTATTTCACCTGATGCTGGCCTCAGGCATCTTGGCCACAGGGCTAGAATGTGCTAAGGTTCTTCGACTTCTCGAAGATAATAAAATGTTTCACACGTCTTGATAATAAAATGTTTCTCAAAAATAAAATGTTTCACATGTCTTGAATTTTCAAGATTGCAATCGGCATATGTTATACATGCCGTGTTCAATGTTTGGGGTGGTGAGAAAAAGAGATTGTTACAAAAACTAAAAGGACAAACTTGCTGTATTGCTTCAGATATGCGAGTAGATAGCCCAGGTCACAGCGGGTTGTTTGGTTCCGGGAGTTCTTTGGACGTCAATAACAATGTCATACTTGATACACAGATCATAAAGGTAATGACAGAGCCTATTAACATATTATAATGATCGTCTGAAAATATTCCGTTGATAAATTATAGTATTCTTTTGTATATTTCTCTATACTTTATCAATACTCAGAGCACTGAAGTCAAGAATTCCAACGCCATGGAGCTAGAATCCATCAAGCGTCAATTTGCATACCTTGAAAATGGTGATGTTAAGATTACCAAGCTTGTGACTGACAGACAAATCCAGGTTACATCTTACATGGCTAAGGAGAAGCCAGAAATAGAACATGTTTATGATGTTTGGCATGTGGCCATAGGTGCAGCTAATTCTCTATTTGCAAGTATTAATCACTCAAATATAAGTGCATCAATTGTGAATCAAATCACTGGAATTGTGAATCATGTGATAAAGTAAGATGTATTTAAATTGAACCTTTTAGGAGAGAAAAAGAGGTTACTTAATTAAAGGGGTAGTCTGACCTTAACACAACTTTCGCTCATATGAAAGTATATATTGTTCTTACCTCTCTCGCGAAATCCTAGGTTTCCAATTCAAATTTAACTCGAGAAATAATGCTTTAAATGTGTGTATTTTTGTATCGCCATTGTGTACATGCAAGCGAAGCCGCAGTCCAGCAGCGGTTTTTCGTCGTGACGTCACTGCGCGGTTTGGCGGGTATACTTAAATACAAATCACAATACAAACACAGATTTAAAGACGCAATTGTCTCACTTAATTTTATTACCATTGTAAAAATGCCCTACTGTATGGTACCAGGATGTAACAATTGTTCGAAGAAAACCAAAGGGAGCGAAATATCATTTCACCGATTGCCAAACGACAAAAATCTTCGTCGAAAGTGGCTAAGTCGTGTCAGACGCGAAAATCTACCGAAAGCAAATTCATGTTACGTTTGCAGCGCGCATTTTACGCCTGATTGTTTTCAAAACTCCTTAAAAGAGTTATTTAACATGAAAGCAAAGAAGACGCTAAAACCTGGTAGTTTACCGTCCATATTTCCATTCATAAAACGGAAACAGGAACGTGAGTTGTCAAGCAATAGAGCCCAAACAAGAGAAAAAAATGCACGACAACAGGTACTGTACTTTGTAATTCAAAAAATTTAAACACCGTTGTCCTTCCATCATATACTTAGATGTTCTAATGTCTATTCTATGTAGGAAGTGTGGAGCTTGTTAGAGCAGAGTAATGAGCCTAGAGAGTCCTCCAATATTGAGCATATGGAGGATACGACTGATGTTGATGTTACAAATTTCCGAAGTGTTGAAACACAATGCGACCAAAAAATTTTCGTCGATGCGGAAATCCAATGTGATATGATATCAAAACGAAGCATTGCTATTCAAACCCTTGCCCCACGGAAAAGAAAAAGAAAGGGAAAACGTTCCAAAATTCATAAAGGACCTCCTTTGAAATCAAAAAATGTAAACAAAGGTAGTCAATTAAAATGTAAAAAAATAATGGCCCAAAATGAAGTAATGGAAGAAAAAGAAGAAGAATCATTCAAGACAATTAACAATGATGCAACATCTTCAGACAGTTGTGGGTCATCAGGAAGTGATGAGGACTATTTATGCCCGGAAACTTGCACTGATGATGAATCTGACTCAAGTGACATTGAAGGGACACTTAACAATGAGAAAAAAATTTATTGTGTTTGAAAGTATGCTTGATCAGTTGTTTATCAATTGCAAAACATGTGGTTCTCTTTGTGACATTGAAAAATCTACAACTGGCAGCATGGTAGAAGTAAGAGCAACATGCAACAAAAATCATACCCATCATTGGACATCACAGCCTTTGCTTCACAACAAGCCAGCTGGAAATGTTTTGATTCCTGCAGCAATAATATTAACCGGGAGACTTTTGAGCCAATGAAGCAATTTTCCATGGCATTTAATTTGACTTTTGTGAATAAGTATCAATTCTATAAAGTTCAAGATGAAATTGTATTCCCAGTCATAAATTCAACCTATGAAAAGCAACAAAACAATTTATTGCAAATAATAAAAGAAGCTAAGGCAATTAACTTATGTGGTGATGGACGATCTGACAGTCCTGGGCACAATGCCAAATATGGAACTTACACTTTAATGGACGAAAGTTCTGGAAAAATTCTTGACTTCTCCTTGGTTCATGTATCAGAGGTTTCTTCTTCATATGCCATGGAAAATGAAGGTTGTCAACGGTCTCTCAACAAACTCATCAACCAAGATGTGAAGATAAGGTCATTGACAACTGATCGTCATGTTCAAATCACATCTGAGTTGAAGAAGAAATATCCTTCAATAATCCATCAGTTTGATGTGTGGCATTTGTCAAAGTGGGTTACCAGAAAGTTGTCAAAAAAAGCCCAGAAACATGAACCCCTACTCAAATGGGTGCAGTCTGTATCCAACCATTTGTGGTGGTGCTCTCAGTCTTGCAAGGGAGATGCAGATTTGTTGCAAGAAAAATGGGTTTCCATATTAAATCATGTTGTCAATAAGCACAAGTGGAAGGAGGGAAAATACTTTAAAAAGTGCGCCCATGGTCGGCTTTCTGAAAGAAAACAAAGAAAAACAAAGTGGTTAGAAAATGGCTCTGCTGCTCATGTTGCTTTAGAAGAAATCGTACTTAACAAAAAACTATTAAAAGACTTAACAAAGCTAACAGAATTTCACCACACTGGGGAACTTGAGGTTTACCACTCACTTCTCCTAAAATACTTACCCAAACGTCTTCACTTTTCGTACAAAGGTATGCTTGCAAGAACCAAGTTGGCAGTGATAGACCACAATGTAAACACTGGCAGAAAACAAGCACAAGTTCAATGTGGAAAGCAGCAAGGGGAAAAGCGATATAATATCGTGTTCCCAAAAGGGCGAAAAAATTGGGTAGCCAAGCCAATTATGGCGAGTAAGTCGTATTCTTTTGTGCAAGGTATGATGGAAGATGTCTGCTGTTTTAATGTAAAAAATGTACATAACAAGATTTCTTTACCAGCAAACATTCCAAGAAATATTGCATCTATAGAAAAGCCAAACAAAGAAAGTGTTATACAAGCACACAAATCAAGAATGGGTAAATAGTCCCCAAAAAATATTTATAATGTATATATCAATATTTATAATTAATAATAAGAGAATGTCTAATAGTAAAGTAGCCCAATTTTTGTTTTGCTATGCAAATTCATTAGCAAAGGCACTTTTCAATTATGTACACCAAAATCCTTGCATAGCACAAATAAAGAATTGGTTTGGCTTGGCCATTATAATTTGTATTTATTGTTCATTTACTAAATCCAATTTATATTTTTATTTATTAGTAATTCATCATTAACGATACTTATAAATATGGCTATAATAATTTACATTACCATTATTATTCATCACCAAATTTAAAACCCTCAAAGACAAAGTCCTCTTCTAGACCTGGTGGTGGGAAATGTGCTCGAATGCAGCTAACAGCACAAGATGGTAGTGGTACTCTAATTTCCTTGCCCAATACATTCCGACACCATCGAACCAGTTGCCTGTAAGCCACATGTCTTTGTCTTTTGTGTTCAGGTCCTTCTTCAGCTCTTGAACCATAGTGTTGTTTGTACTCACTCCATGCCAGTCGTAATACCCAATAATTCAAACAAAGATTTGAAAAACAGGATTATCTGTAATACAGTCTGGAGTATCTATTCCCTCAAATTGTGCTGAGTCTTCATTCATTGTTACAACAGCTGAAATTTCTTTGCAACAAACACATTCTTCCACCCTATCCATGATTTGACAATGGCTACATGTGCACCTATTCCGGTAAAATAGCAACTAAATAATCATTTTATATCAAAATATTTAAAGGTTGAAAACTCAAGCGTAATGTCATATTCGAAGTACGCGTAACATAATTCGGCAGCGTAATCCGTGCTATGAAACATGTAAAAACAAAAACGACATAAATTGCAGAAACGAGTAAAATAATAGTATTTACCAGAATTTATCCTGAAGTCTGTTTGGTTCCGATACGGATTCAGTCGATGATGCAGCGGCAACTTCGTCGGAGTCGTCCATAGGCTCGTCGCTAGAGTCTGTTTCAATCGGCTCATAAGCATATGGTTGAATCATGTTTTGATCGTTAACCATTTCTTCGTAGTGTGAAACACTGCTTCCAGAATAATTACTAGAGGAATCGTTTGAGTAATCCGTATCCATTGCGCAAAATAATTTAAAAACTTAGAAAATAAAATGCAACTATGAATATGCTTATGCGTAATATCTACTTTTGCTAGTATATTTTGTCTTATGTTGACAACGATCACCGCGCAGTGACGTCACGACGAAAAACCGCTGCTGGACTGCGGCTTCGCTTGCATGTACACAATGGCGATCGAACAAGAGGCAAAAATACACACATTTAAGGCATTATTTCTCGAGTTAAATTTGAATTGGAAACCTAGGATTTCGTGAGAGAGGTAAGAACAATATACACTTTCATATGAGCGAAAGTTGTGTTAAGGTCAGACTACCCCTTTAAACTTGTAAAAAAGAACATATTTTGTGCAATTAAGCCTTGGATTGGGGTAACTACATTTAAAAAATGTATATCATGCCATTCCAGAGGAGTATGAGTGATACTTGTAGCTATATCTTTAACTTTATCTAACAGTCCATCATAAATCATTTGTATTGGGTGGCAAGCTCTAGCAGCACTGAAATTGAAAAAGAAGAAAAGTGGAAAAGTTTGGCAAATCACATTGCTGATATTCATGCTCACGAAGACAACAAGATGTTTACCAAATGCTTGCATGAAGCAACTGAACGGCAATGGTTAAAAAAAGGTAAAGGGTAGTATCTAGCTCTGATTCACTCATGGAGACTTCATCACTATACACAAAAAAAATAAGTGCACGGTGCACCTGTTCTTTAACAAGTCTCGAAGTATTTGCATATATATTATAATCTTGCTTCTTATCAATCTATTCATAAGACTGACCTCTTTATACTTTTTAAGGTAGTGCAGCTCATAAGAAACTAACTGAACTTATTTCAAGACCAAGATTGATAAGTGCAGTTAGAAAGTTGTCAAGTCACCAACAAACATCAGGCTTGGAGGCAAAGAATTCACTTGATAATCTTTTTGCATCAAAAAATACGTACTATCCATATCACTCACTCATGGCCAGGTGAAAACATGCATTTTTTCTCACATATTTTACTTTAAAAAAGGGTTGCATTGACCAATAAAGAGTAATGTGTTATTCCAGCCTATACAGTTACCCATTGTGAATTTTTCAGGTTATTTCGTGCAAATTTACATTACAATGAAAATGCTCATAGACCCCAAGCAACAACACAAAAAGGTGATAAAAGATGGTCAGTTGCATACCCTAAAGCTCACAAAGGTGAAAAAGCTGTGGCCAAACCAATAAGTGACTGTCCTACCTACAGTAAGAATCAATAGACAAATCAGAATCATTAATGACAAAATGTTAATGCGAAATACATTTAAAATTTTTAGATTATGTGCAAGATGTTCAGTGTCTGAGACTTCGCAAAGATTTCAACACCGCAAAAATAGCGTTGGAGAATGCAAAAACATTGCTTCCGAAAGAACCTCCCTCACTTGTGAAAACATACTTGTTTGAGAAGCAAAGGCAGCCAAAAAAATGAAGTCATCACTCGCAGACACAGTAGATTCACAACGCCTGCTTTGCCCGACGATAAAATTAATGACATAGTATGTTTTTGAAAGGGAAAATGTGCTACAAGCCGATGTTATTGTAGGAATAAGAATCGTCCATGTACGGAAAGTTTTGGTTGGCAAACCATGAAATGAAACAATAGATGATGAAAATTTAAAAGCCTTGAAATCTCAAATACCTCAAATCCAATTTCAATATACTTGGCATATTTAAAATGAGTGTAAAGTGCATCAGATGACCAATACTTCCCTCGTATGCATTTGTACATGCAAGATGGAAATGGCCTTCGACATTTCTTGCCAAGAATATGAAAATCCATCTCGAACATCTTCGATACGCAACATGACAGTATATTTTGTGTATGACTGCAAGTTCGTCATCACCTAACGCACTGTTTTCTTTAATATACTGCCAAGTATCTATTTCAAGGACGTTTGCCGATATGTTTTGATTGAAGGAAGCAAGTTCAGTCACGCAAGACAAGCCTGCATCCTGTGCGATTTAAGTTCGCCATCATATTCGTCATATTCAACCGCTTTTTCATGACAGCAAAAGCATTCAATCGTTTTTGCCATCAACTCACAATGGCCGCATTTACACCAACTGAGTGACCTTTTACGCCAACTATACATAGCTTCAAACTCCTCGTCTATCTGATCATCTACTTCGCTCGACGAAAAACTTTCTGAGTCAGAATTCTCACTCTCTACAAATTCATCTGGCATTGGCTCTAACATATATGGCTGAACCATAGCATCTTTGTTAATATTTTCCATTTTGAGTGCTGTAACAGCAGTGAAAAGTCCCAAACTTTGCGTAATAAATGAGAATGCTTGTCAATTTGCAATATAGACAATATTCATTAGCAAACGTCTCCCTGTTGTGACGTCACATATGAAATCTAGTTAATTTGGCTGCTCATTCCAAGATGGCGGAACAGCCCTTGAAATAAGCAAACTTTCATTCTAAATTGCGCTTTAAATAAATATTTTCAAACAGGAAAAATAATGTTTTATGGAATACTAATCTGCAATGAATGATATTGCGACATGAAAAAATATATGTCCCATGTCCTTTAAGTCTGAATGTGGAATTACTGCATTTGATTTATCTCCTAATCAAGATAGTTTCACCGAAGTTTTATCGTGTCAAAATACAGGTGATTTCGGATTTGATATTAATTTCAAAAAAGCATTAACTGAAGCACATACAATGATATTTTTTGGAGAATTTAGAAATCAAATGAATTATGGATATAAAATTCCTATATATTTTGAATATCGATTTTAACTTTTTTATTATTGTTGTGTATTCAACATGAGAAGAACAAAAAAATTATATAAATTGAAGAGAAAGAAAAAAAATTTAAAAAGAAAAAATATAAAAGTAATTGATATTGATTTTCCATTAAAAAAACAAATTATACACATTGATCCAGTAATAAATCCTAATTATTTATAATGGATGATAAAGAAAATGTAAATGAAGAGGATAAATACGATATGGAAAATGAAGATAAAGAAAATGTGGAAGAAATTGATAAAAAAAAGAAAATTTAATTAAAGAAAAAAGTAATAACGAATATTATGATTTTCAAAATAATTTTAATGAAGAAAAATTTAATTCTGATGATGATTATGATTTTGATGTTGATGATGTTGATAATGAAGATGATGATGAAGAAAATATTATAAATGAAGAGGTTTTAAGAGCAATTGTTAAATTAGTTGAATATTCAAAACAAAAGAAAAAAAGTGAAAAAAATGACATTGTTCAAAAGTTAAGGTTATTTATTAAATTTAGAGTAGAAAATAGAATAAAATTAATTAAAAATAAAAAGATATTTAAAAATTTGATTTGTATTTAAAAAAATATTTTAAATGATAAAATAATTTTACATGAAGGAATAAATCCATATCATAAGAAAATGTTATTAAGAAGTTTAAAACAAAAACATAGTGACAATATAAAACATTTATTATGTGAAGATGTTCAAACAATACTTATTATAAGATGCTTATAAAATAATTAAAACTAATGGCAAATGATAGTGTTGAGAAATTTGGTCTTGTTGACACAAGTCAAATAAATAAATTATTAGCAGAATTGAAGAGAAGACGTGAGGAAGATGATTTGATCAATGGGATAACTAATAATACAAAAAGACATGAAATAATAAAAGCATATAATATATTAAAAAAAGAAAGAAAAAATAAAGAAAAAGGAAATTTTATTAATTTTTTGAATAAAGGGAGTGATTTAAGAAGAGCTGAAAACGAGGACGTTGTAGATACAGATGATATAAGGAATGATGGCAATACTTTAAATATAGATGGTGGTGGTACTCCCTTTAAAACACCAATAATAAGAGGTTCAAAAGCACAACATCACAAATTAATTTCAACTTTTTTCAATAATCATGGTATAAACAAAAAAGATTTAAAAATAAATGGGAAGAAATTTAATTTTACCTACTTTGATTTAGTAAATGATTTAATATCTAATAGAAAAACATTAAATCTCAAAGAACATGAATTAAGATCTATTTTACCTGAGTTGAAAAGAAAAGGAATGCCAATTTCATATATTAAAAATAATATAATCAAGGAGATGTATATAAATTCTAATGCAAGCAATACAACTGGTAGAAGACGAAGTTCACAAATACCTATTTTATCTACTCCTTCGTCACTACTATCTCCTGCTTCAACATCGTTATCTACACGTATACCACCAGTATTAACTCCTGAACCGTCTTTAAATTTAGGCAGTTCTACACCCCATCGTTTTTCTGCTTTTTCTTGACGAAAAACATTAAAACAAAATAAAACATATAATATATAAAAAAATGGATATAAAATGTATGTTGGAAAAGTTTTTAACAACTGATAATTTAATTTATTTCCGGAATAATAATAAAATTATAAAAAAAAAGTATATAAGGTATATTTCCAGCTGATTATTACCAGAAAATAAATTTTAAAGAAGGTGGATGGATATGGAATACAGATACTAGTGATAAACCAGGTCAACATTGGGTAGCCGCGTGGAAAAATAGGAAAAATTTATATTTTTTTGATAGTTTTGGTTTAACTCCACAACATAAAAATGAAAGATGGAAGAAATTTGCAACTGATAAAAAATTAAATTTTGAAATATTTTCTTATAAAAGACATCAAAATATTAATAAAACTACTTGTGGTGTTTGGTGTTTGTTATTTTTGTTACAAAAATGTTTAAAAATGAATATTTTAATTGTAATTAATCATAATTCAACTTTAGAAAATGATAAAAAAATGTTAAGTTTATCTGAAATGTTTTTTCCAAGAATTAAAAAAGTGTATGAACGAAAATGTAAAAATGAGAAGAAAAATACTCAAATATGTTGTAGTTATAAAAATATATTTACAAAATAAAATTATAGAGGCTTTGCATGAACACGTGACTTACAACTTGTTGATTAGCAACCGTAACTATGGCGCCATGATAGGGGGCATGCAAAACGCACATGGCGTCAAGTCAATACGAACGAGTGCCATGCCTTCCTAAATATCGTGAAACTTTAAGTGTTGAAGATCGTGTTAAATAC